TTGCTTCCTATTCTAAATTATTTGCAATTTATCTTTTTCTTTTGTCAATTTTGGGAAAAGGAGTTCGCGTCGGCGGATATTTTTAACTTTCTGCTAGTTTTGTGGTGGTTCATGCGGTGGAACCAAGCTGGGTATGTCTTAGATGTAGTTCTGGCTGTGAACATCGGTCCTGTACTCACAGTGGATTTGGAGCTTTAGCTTAGGACTTGAATAAAACAAAAACAACAACATTAATATTACATCACGTGCTCGGTTTTCCCTTCACTGTTTACCCAGAACATGTTGATGCCTGACGCACGCTCAGTGCAGTTGTACAACACCTACATAACTTTTATCAAGTAAGAATATATTTACGCTAACCTATACGTCACAATGGACATAATACACTCATGATACTAAAACTGATTAGTGGCTAATTTAGCGTTTAAGCAAGCAGGCAATTAGCCATAAAAGAGCAGAGTTAAAAGCGGAGATGCTGAAGCTGCTGGCCAGCGTAAATCTGTGGCAAAGCTGTGGTGCCCGCCGCATGTTTTTATCTAACTAACTAGCGGGAAAAGACTGCTGGCGTATGCAATGATCCCTATCGCAGTGTATATTATAAAGATAAGAAATACCGTGTTAGGCGATACGTTTGCAAAAAGCTTGTGTTTCGTAAAATAATACTGACGATGAGCGAGAGGCTACTTTAAAACATTCTATTCTTCACTCAGAGAGTCATGGAGAACCTCTGAGTGTCAGTGCGAGACTGACTTCAGCACGCCGAGGTATTCGACGACGACGCTTTCAAGCGACAAAAAATGGATTGGAAATGGAGACACAGAGTGTTGTGGGCGTACGGGCCCACCATTTCGTCTAGGTTCCCGACATGATTTTATGTGTATTCAAGAGGTTGGAGTGAGTAATATGGTAGCGCTTCAGGCTAACAGATGAAAAAATGAGCGGATCTAAGGCGTGGGCACTAGGGTGTTATTGGGATTTTTCTATGTTTACGTGGCGCCACATTTGTTTATGCTGTGTCGCTCACTCTTGCACTTGTCGCGCGCGCCTATCACTCCTCTAGCTGTATTTCGACCATGACACTCCTCCAATCAACTTCCTCTTTCATTCCAGGAATGTTGCACCCATTTTATCGCACGATATTTTCACCAATTCTGGCCCTTCTCGGCCCAATTTGAAGTGCTGATTAACTTTTTATAAGGCAAGCTATACTATGTCTCCGGCTCTGACTCTCGGATTAGAATTGGGGTTACCAATATCAGTATAGAATGTTGTCTAAGCTCATATATCCTTTCTGTGAGCTTCTAACTTTTCCATGATCAAATTCTGAGTCTTGGAAGCCAAGCATCAATCCAAGTGACACACACGTTGATCCTCACTGCGATTGCAGGAGCATCTCTATTATGGCCAGGCATCCTTGAAGAGGTTTCAAGGAGAAGATTCTCGGGAGAAGGTTTACTGAGAAGCTTTCCGAGAAAACCCCGATAGTTAGAGATGGAGGGGCTGGCGTCATGACTACATCTGTCACAGCCTTAGTTGAGTTCAAGTACTGTCTCGAGTGAGACTTGAGGAAACTGGAGCTGCCACAAAGTAGCTCTCCAGCTTCTCAATCTTTCAATCTTTTATCTCGTAATCTAGCATTTATAAAATATTATAATCTTATATTCTCACAGTCCGATATTCTCAGTCTCTCATTATCCGTTACTTTCTTCGTACCTCTGTTGACCCTAAGTTATCAGACTTGATCGCTTGCTCAGCAACTCGACTTCCTGACTCCGTGTCTGTCGACTAGCCTATAATTCTCCGACCCTTGACCATCCGGCACCCCGCCAGTTGAATTATATCTGAGTATTCTTTGTCAGCAACTATAATCCTAACAGTTATTAATACCTTACCTTCGGCAGACGGCGATCTCCAGTATCCTTAGCGCACGCCGTAACAATCTCTCTGCGTAGGACAATCTTTGGTTTGATATTTGCCAGCCTACTCATCACGTCTAGGCGGCTATCCAGATACTCCCCGTACCTAGTCTAAATAGCAACGGTAATCACGGGGTCACATTAAGCATGGAGTGTTCATAACTGAACTGTGGGTGTTATGGCCTGAATATTCTGGCCTGAGGTAGAGATACCATACGGGATATCCGGCCAGCCAATATTAACTAAACAGATATATTACAAGGTCATCTCCAAGACCGGCTTTCGGAAATTGTTTGTTTGTTTGTGTGTGTTTTTATTGTACTACTTGAGTCTATGACTATCTAGCACATTGGGCTCTTCTCTGACCAAGGCCACACCTTGTACAGTGCTCTTTGCGTCTTTTGTAACTTGAAAGGTCTTGATATACTGCCCGTGATGAGTAGCCATTAAGCTCAGTATTTACCCATGGAATTCGGCTACCTTTTCCATGGAACATTCTACCCAAAAAAATAAAATGGTAGCAATGGAAACTGCGTGCGCGGGAAAACGTCTCAAAAATCCAGCAGCCCCAGCCAGGCGAGGCCTAGACACCGGGACTACATGAGGTGTGAATATTCATCCACATCTCCCTTCTTTGTAACATTCGAGGCCGACTTGATTCAATCCATCATCGCCATTTCGGGTGCTGGGTACGCTCCGGAAACTCATCGGATGGCTTTTTCTCAATGATCAAGTGTTGGTGACGAGAAGGGCCCCGACCCTACCATCTGATCTGATCGTGGTTAGCTTCATGATAATGATGATAGGGGAATGTGTTGAGAGATGAAGACGATACAGACTGCGAAAGCGATTGGGAATCCTCTTCAAAGTGAGGACTTTGTTACTCAATCTCGGCTCTGCAGACTCTACAGTGAGAGCTGGAGGTTCGTAGGGGACACCGATGACAAGTGTTCAGAATAGTCCCCCTTTCAGGAATAGTAATCCTGTGCTTAATAAAAGTATCTTTGCATAAATTAGTAATATAGGCTTTCGGGGATGATTAGAATTTTGGATAAAGGAAGAAACCACATACTATTCCCCAGATTAAATATCTGAGATTAACAATTTAACTCAGATACCCTCATGCGATGGATGGTTCAAGGACGAGCCGAAGATTATATTCATGAGTCGTTATGATTATAAGAAGCGGAAGAAATGGCATGCCCAGCTCTTCAGCTTCGCGATTTGTATTTTTCCCTTCTTTTGATCAAAGTCATCCGTGGTATCTTGCCACCATAATTATCTCTTCTTAATCTTTGAATTCATAATTATAACCCTCTATTGTGAACCTTGATAATCACCTTGTACACTTCGAAGACAGCAGATCCTACTCCTTTTGGATCGCGCCGTGACAGTGGGAAAAATCGCTTTAAATTGTGCCCATTTGCACAACTTCTTGCATAAACTTGAACGATAGGCCCAATTCCTTACGAAACAGAAGACTCAGGTCCGCTTTCCCGTCTTGTCGCCGCTAAATGCCATCCATGGTCAGCCCAAGGACCATCGCGCTGATTGTATCGGTAATCGTCTCATTAATTGTTGAGATCTAGGGATAGCCGAACTCCGATAGATAGAGAAGGGTATACTAGAGGTTGGTAAAAGTCATGGGTTCTAACTTGGTGTCGTTTTTTTGCATCAGAGTTGAATTGCGTATGTAGCTATCTAGCTGTGACACAATATCAGAGAAAAGTACATAATAGATGACTCAATGTAAAGGAAGAGCACTCATGCCTCGGATTTCATTTGCAAGTACCACTGCGAAGTTATGGCGGCTTTTTCTTCACCGCAAGTCAACCCTCATCCGTCAATACCCACCCAGGGGAACGTCTCAAAAACCCTGAGTTATCCAGACATGCCTCCGTCATCCATTATCTTTCCTCCGCGAAAAATGTAATCTGATATGTCTCCTTCCCAAGTGAAGTAGGTGCCCAGTCTTCTCAAACTAAACCGGAGAACACCACCAGGAGGCGGGCCACAGTACCTTCCATCGTTTACTTGTTTGTATAGTGTCAGCTGCACTCTCGCCAGCGAAGTCTTGGCGCGCACAAAGCCCAATTCGTAAAGCCCCTTGCCAAAATTCGGAATCTCACGCCCCTCGAGAATGTATCCCTCTTTTGTATCATCTTGTAAACTTGTCCTGATCTCTCTCATGTCCATCCCAAGGAGTTTCCCCACTAGATTTGTGCGCCACGGGTTTTGTGCTCGTACGGGTATTGATATTGTGGTGGGCGTATATTTAGTGATCAGCTGAGGCCTGAAAATAGTCGATGAGAGGTGTAGTCATTGGGATGAGGATGTACTGAGTCGTACTTGTAGACTTGATGAGACTTAGGCAGGAATCAGTCTCGTTGGGAGTGATAATTTGACGTGGTGGAGTATTTTGAATCATTGCTTTGCGGGCCAACTTCTTTGGTATTGCGAAATTTGACTGAACTTGGTTCTGGCAAAATATTCCACTCCCAGGTTCGTGGAGGACACCATGTACAGGTGTTCAGGCAATGCCTTCTACGGACAGATTTTTGTCTAGAGAAATTAAGCAAGACCATCGATACAACTTCATGATTAGCATAGTCATAATCTCATGTTGGTTATTTAGACATTGAGAATGTTGACTGAGTCGTGCTTAGCGCGACAAAACAGGCATCGCATCACGTCGCATCGTACGCGTCAGCGCGTATGTAGTGTGTTACAAGAGACCAGAGCAAATCTACAACAAACCTCTAATCTCGACTACGAATGTAAGAACCTGCGGAAGGCGATTCTCTTTTGTCCTAGCTGAAATTTGGTAACAAGAAGTTTTGCCTGTCATCTTTCAGAGGATATTGGTGAACATGTTCTTGACCTAGGATGATAGTGTTGCCTCTAAAAATCAAGCCTATCATTGGAGGCCCTTAAAAGCTCACAAATTTAAGGTGTCGTATAAATTCATTGTCGCCTCCGACTGATCTACAAACCCTCTAAAGACAGGCCAATTGGCCGGCGAAAAGAAGCCATTCACCCATGACACTCAACAGTGATAGCGACGCTTACATCAGCGAGTCCAACATGGAGACAGAATGGGAGTGGATATACGGGGAGATTCATGATGATATAAAGACTGCCACAAAGGCCACACTCAAATCTAGTGCAGAAATTTCGAGATCTTTCAGTGGACAGATAGAGGGTAGAGGCTCAGCTCTCGCGCTAAGTGGAAAGAGACTGATCGGTGCACGTAATGCGAAGTTTCAATTCGGTATCGGAGATGCTGTGTTGGTTAACTGTGGTGATCCAACGCCGTGGATCGCAATTGTCCGATCAATCGACCAAACTGTACCTGGGGAAGAAAAGGTCGACGTATTGTGTAAGCTAAGCTCCAAAGTATTTGTCATGAATTTTCTAATTTACCAGGGCTGTCTAAACATACTGAAATCACCAATAAGAGGAAAAAGAGGAAAGATTATCTTCATGTAAGTTTTGGTAGATCGGCACGAGTCTCCCAGATACTAAAAAGATCAGAACGAACTTTATTTGACCCCGCTGAAGGATTCCATAGGCATTGATACCATCGATGGGACGGCCCAGCTCATGTCCGAAACTGTTTTTAACCAAAAATATCCCAAGGGAATAAGCCAGGGAGCGACTGTCCATGGGTTCGTCTTTATATGTAGACGAGGATGCGAAGCTCGTGGAGCAAATTATACCGACGAGTTTACTTGGGAAGATGTTGAACCCAGAACACAAGAAGAGGTAGATGCGTTACATGAACGTATAATATGTGAAACTCAACCTAAAAAAAGGAGATCACCTCTTCGGCGAAGTGTAAAGAGAGAAATTGATTCACTTCCTGTCATCCCAGAAGGAACACCACGCAAAAAACAAAAATTTTCTGCTAAGACCCCTAGTAAACCCAAAACGCCCATGAAGTTAGTTACACCGAGTCACAAGAGAGTGGTTATTAAGAAGCCCCTCGAGTTCACGCCCTTGGCAACTCGAACTCTAGATATCGACAGCTTCGCAGGCTCTCCATTCAAAACAGCAAGGTCTCGCCTTCACGTTTCCACCGTCCCAACTTCTCTACCTTGTCGTGAGGACGAGTTTACATCGGTCTACTCACATTTGGAAGCTGCTATTTTCGAGGGTAGTGGCGCATGTATTTATATATCTGGGCCACCAGGCACTGGTAAAACTGCTACTGTGCGGGAAGTTGTAGCGCAGCTCGAAACGGCTGTTCAAGCCGAAGAATTAGATCCATTCAATTTTGTTGAGATTAATGGCATGAAGATGACAGATCCGGCTCAGTCTTATTCAATTCTATGGCAAGCACTAAAGGGAGATCGTCTTTCATCAAACCATGCCTTGGATCTGCTTCAACGCGAGTTTTCAAGCCCGTCACCTAGACGCATACCATGCGTTGTACTGATGGATGAACTAGATCAGCTGGTTACTAGAAACCAGTCTGTAATGTACAACTTTTTTAACTGGCCAGGGTTACCATTTTCTCGTCTTATTGTCTTAGCCGTTGCGAACACCATGGATCTTCCTGAACGCACTCTTAGCAATAAAATAAGTTCACGCCTAGGACTGACCCGTATCACTTTTGCAGGCTACAGCTTTGATCAACTAGTCAAAATTATATCTACCAGACTCGAAAATATACCGGGAAATTTCGTTGAAAAAGATGCTATTGAGTTTGCTTCTCGGAAAGTCGCTGCAGTATCTGGAGATGCGAGACGAGCACTTGATATTTGTAGAAGGGCTGTAGAGCTTGCAGAAAGCGACGCGCTAGCTAACCCAAATCCTACGCCCTCCAAGACACCTATCGGAGTTAAAAACAATGGAATAGTTCGTATTGAGACTATCAGAAGAGCTATCAAAGAAGCGACAACAAGTCCTCTACAAAATTATCTCCGAGAACTACCCCTTGCTTCAAAGGTATTCTTAGTAGCCTTGATAATAAGAATGAGGCGAAATGGCACTGGAGAGGACACACTGGGAGAAGTTCTAGATGAGGCAAAAAAGTTTAGTAGACAAACTTCAAGTGACAATAAAATATCCGAATTTCTCTTTAAAACCAAACCAGAAAATGTTGTGGGTCTATCACCATCAAAAAGAGATATAAGCAAGACACCACGGGTCCTAGCGCTCGGAAAATCGGCGATTAGTTTGATGGAAGCTGGAATAATCGGATTAGAAACATGGAAAGTTGACCGTACTGCGAAGGTACGGCTTGCAGTTGGAGAAGAAGATGTCAAGATAGCTTTCAATGATGATCCTGAGGTCAAGAACCTAGGCCTCTGATAGGCGCAACTTTGAACACCGTAAACAACCAAACTGGCTGACGCAGGTCGAAAAGGATAAAGGCCTTGAATCCAAAGCTGAAACTCTAGTCTAGAACTAAAAGGTCAGACTGAATGCAGCTGCACTAATGGAGGGTGAGGCTAAATAAGTTTGATAAAAATTAATTCGTACGTGTAGGAGCTTGATCGTAATACACGCAAGCTCGCCTCGATATCTAGGGATCTGAGCCTATGGGGGACAGAGGGTCTGCAGGATAAAAAGCTGCTGATTAGCTGAAAACAGGTCGGTTTTCATTCCGGAAAAGCACTTTTCCATGACTATACTGTCATCGGAGAGTTGAATCTTCATAACTATTTATGAGCATACAAGCTTCTGCTGGTTTGTATTTTAACGAATTGCAGAATGAAATTCGCCCCAAACGAGTGAGCTAGCCTTGAATCAATTGGTGAAGTATACAAATACAGGGTATCATTTTTAATTTTCATATATTCAGAGATTCAATCAGTCCATTCCCACCTTGATAAACGCCGTTATAGGAACTAACCCGTATTAGAAGTCTCCATATACCGGAGGTTTTTAGTAATATAACATCTTTAGACGCTGCTGACTAAAACTTTGGCCTCCGTAGTGTTGGTTTCCATTCAAGAGGATGACTTTCGGGCGTTGCTGATTCATCTTGTTTCCATATCTTGATCGTTTTGTCAGCTTCTCCGCAAATTAATCGAAGTCCTGTTTTATCAAAAGTAGAGCTCATTAGACCGGCTTCAGCGTCGAGAGATCCGGGCTGTGCTATTGTATCTAAAGCCTGGAATCTATGCCCTGTTTTCCAATCCCAGAAAGATATGGTACCATTATCCCCTTAAATACTGGTTAGTATGATGTTCGATAAACATGATATATTACTTTACTCACCGCCTGAAAACAACACGTTATCTTCGTTAACCGAAAGGGTGTTGATTATTGAGTTGTGCCCATCAAAGTTTTGCATGAAAGCCCCTTCCGGACACTTCCACTGTTTAATACTGCCAGTGCTTGCGGTTGCAAAGGTGAATTCCTTAGGATGAATAGCTAATGCTCGAACCCCTTTCTTGTGATGAGTCAGTACTCCCATAGTTTTTCCAGCTGCGAGATCCCACAGCCGGACAGTTGAGTCGAGTGATGTGGTGATTACTTGTGGATCAGCTTCCTGACATTGAAGATCTGATACGGTGCCTTTATGTCCAGAAAGAACGTGGATGTTACATCTAGTTCGCATATCCCAAACTCGAGCAACACCGTCACGACCTCCCGTTACCAGCACATCAAGAGTCGGATGGAGTGATAGTGTGTAAACTCCCGAAAGATGGCCGTGGTAATGGCGAATTACCTTGTTAGTTTCCAAATCCCAACATTTTACCATTTTATCTTCACCGCATGAGAATAAATATGGGTGACGCGGCGAGACCGCCAAGCCTCGAACAGTCGATATGTGTCCTGTGAGAGTAAGACGAAGCTGGCCAGTCGCAAGGTCCCATATCTTAATAGTTCGATCACCTGCACCACTTACGAACCACTGATTATCTGGCTCAACGGCTAAGGCCCTGACCCATCCCAAGTGACCTGATATTACTCGAGCTAGCTTCCATGGTGCGTGCCACTCTGGTCGCTGGGTAGCAATAGCTGATGAATCCCTCCTAGTAAGGCCTGAGTGTGGAAGGTTTCGCTGGTGCGTTGTAGCTTTTGCGGTAATCAAAGATGTTGATGCGCTAATTTTATCGCTGTTATCACCGGTTTCGCCGTTGGATAATTTTTGTTTGGGCCCAACAGATGCTACTTTAGCCGCAAGTGAGGATGGTAATACCATGCAGTGGCCGTACTCTGCTTGGATCTTAATTTTGTCGGCTAGTTCTTCAGCTCTTTTCGGGAAACTTGCATCAGAGAATCCATCTTGAAAAAGGTGCTTTGTACGATGCCTGTTAGCTTGAAACCGATTCTCAAAATTTAAGTCGTTGGTACACTCAGGTTGGATATCTTGCGACTCCACTACTTTCATCAACTGTTCTTCATTGTCCTCTACTGACATAGGACTTGCGGGAGCTGTTTCTTCAGTCATGGGTATGATTGAGATTTGGAGATATGGTAACTTTCAGCAACTCAAATTTCTGAAGTAGGGTATGCGCTGGAATCTAGCAAGACACTAGTAATGCTGGTGGGTCAATGATTAGAAAGGGGTGAGTGCAAAAATTCGACTAATAATCCGCAAGGTTGAGATTGTGATTTTTTTGTACCAACGCGCTCGACTGGTGCAGTGGTACATCGTCCGAATCAGGCTAGCAAATAGAATCTTCGTGCCTGAACACCTAATGCATGTAAGGCTGGAGAAAGCTGACCAAAACTCGACATGTTCGGGTCACCACTCATCCTCGCGATTGTGTTAGGTGTAAGCGCCACAAATGTGCTTACCAATTCTCCGTGGAAGATCATGCGTTTGCCTTTGATGTTTATGTGAAGAAAAGGTTACATGTTGTAAGGGTTAACTGTGAGCGACAGTTGCAAATGAATAAAGAAAGAAGGAGGTTTTTTTGAATTTGATTTCATTTAACCCGATTTGGCGCCCAGTGGGCCCATGCGGGCGGCTGTGAACCTATATATATATTTACATAAAGGGGAAACCATCACGATTAAAGCCCCCTCCCCTATTGATTTTTATTTATGTCTATATTCTTTCATTACCTACAGTAAGTGCGATTGGACTTGAGTCCGAGACAGGACTATCTGACATTATATTGGACCTCGCCATCCTTTCCCTGCCATCGCGTGCCGAAAAGTGATGACTGTGGTCTTGAGTTTGACCCCGATAGCGCAAATAGTTGCTGTCTTGTCTTGTCTTGTTCATTTACGTGCTAGGTGAAGTGATTCCCGTTGCACTCCTACTGGACCTTAAGCACGGGTGGGACCGGGCTGGATCAGGTTAACTACCATTAAGTACATCTACCTCGTCCCACCTAAATGACCGGACCACCTAAGACTTCACCCATGTGTTGAATCATGTCAAGCCCAACCGTTCAGAGAACCCCCTTTTGGCGCGCCGAAGCGCAAATTCCTCCTCAGCCTCGGCCACCACGCGCCCGAGGCCCTGACATCTTCGCCATCTGTAACTTTTCCCTTTGAATAATTCGCAGCTTTGGCTCATCTCAGCATCCCCTCATCTCATCCGGGGGCCGTTTTCTTCACTGGAGGCCTCATCCAGTCGCCCACCAAGGCCTCCTTAGTTGTATCCCCTTTTATTTCCTTCATACAAGCATCCCTCTGCCCTTCAGCCGATCTCGTCATCCAAGAAACTTTGTAGAATGTCCACCCCTCCGGCCTTGCCCCGTCGCTGCCGTACCCCTAGCTGTGGAGGTCGAAAACGCGACTGAGAGCTCAAGACCGAGGCACCGGCGCCCCAGCCTTTGTCAAACGCTCTAATTGGTATGCCGGCAAAATGTCGTACGTATTTCGTCGGTGGCAATTCGTCGTAGGTCGAGTTGTTGGTGCCCTTGGCCGAGGTGAGGACGCATTTAAGGCCGGTATTTCGACCGTACCTTCACAGCGGCTGGCAGTTGCGGAGGGTCGGAAATCCTCTTGCTTCTTAGTTGGCGATTTGGCTTTTTGAGGTATGGGGTTGCTTAGGTGGATTGTGAGATGATTGTTGAGAGGGCCGCGAGATGAGTTTGGCTGAGAATGAATTTCCAGAGAAAAAGAAAATAAGATTTTGAAGGTGTCGGTTGTCGTAATACGAACATCAGACGGGTTACAATCTGTCTGCGGTTCGTATCTGGGGTGTAGATGGTTGATTTCGTTGAGTTGTGCAGTCGTGAAATCTCTGCAAGTCGGATTTTCGACCAAAAATGAGCCAACACCACTCCTCCCGATCGCCAACTCGACGAAGACTCTCAAATTCACCCTTTATCGTGACTGAATCTCGGCTCTGGGAGAATATTTCACTCTAAGGTTCGTGGAGGACACCACTGACAGGTGTTCAGCCTTCGTCCTCCGCAAATAGTTATTGTGGTGGGCCTGTGGTTAAGGGGTGTTCTCGCGGGCGCCCCAGCCCTCTCTTGCCGACCTCTGCCCTCTGGTTGGATACAAGTGTAAACACTTGGTTGTCTGATGTTATCGCCACTGGTTTTGGAATAATTGCCCCTGGTGTATTCTTCTCCCTTCTTATTTCCGCCGTTCTTTCCAAAAGTTCATAAAAGATGGAGGTTTGTTTATTGTACAACATAAATCTTAGGCTATCGAGTACATTGGGCTCCTCTCTTGCCCAGGCCACACCATGTACAGTGCTCTCTGCCTCTTTTGTTCCTTGAAAGATCATTAATATATTGCCCTTGATGAATAGCCATTCAGCTCAGTTTTTACCCATGGAATTCGGCTACCTTTTCCATGGAATATTCTACCCAAAAAAATAAAATGGTAGCAATGGAAACTGCGTGCGCGGGAAAAAGTCTCAAAATACCTGCAGCCCCAACCAGGCGAGACCCAGACAGAATAAAATATGAATAAAAAATAAACAAAAAGAGACCTAGACACCGGGACCCCATGAGGTGCGCATATTCATCTACATCTCCCTTCTTCGTAACATTCGGGGCTGACTTGATCCGATCCACCATCGCCATTTCCGTATCGGGGGCTAGGTACTCTCCGTAAACTCATTGGAAGGCTTTTCCTCAATGTGTCGTTATAATTAAACGATTGATTGTTGTGGATCTTCATATAATCCATAGTGTTCGGAGTACTTGCATATCTGCTTAGGTAAACAGCATGGATTTGATTACTAAGACTCAATATGTATTACTAGCATTCGTTGGATATCATAGAGAATCAAGTCTTTACTCATATTTATATATATATATATATATATCCAAGGTAGTTTGGCAATGCAAATACGAAGTGAGCACATGGGGCTTAACTCGTATTTACACAGAAGAAACGTACCCGGAGTATTAAGTCCAGGTTGTCCATGCGGCTACCAATCACAGAACCCAAAGCACCTGATTATGTCCTGCCCCCAATGGTCAAATGGTAGAGCTGAGATCTGGAGACAAGCCAAAGATCGATCCTATGAAGCGATGTTAAATAATCCTGGAGATATAAAAAGGATAACACAGTGGATCCTAAACCATGGTTGGATAGAGCAATTCCAGATGACAAAAGCGGTCAAAATACTGCTGAGGGAAAGGAAAAGGTCAAATAATGCTGGGGGAGGATAGAGATAATCTGGTTAGTTTACATGGATGGCACTATAGTGTAACTGCGCTTCCTGAAGAAAATATGTGAGGACTATAGACAACAAATAGAAAGGTGTTGGAGGTTTTCACCATAAAGGTTTCCTCCCGGGTAAATATTATAGACTGTAGACACCTGCATGGGCCCATAGGGCGCCAAATCAGGATAATGAAATCAAAATCAAATATATATATATATATTACCACCACCACCTATGTGTAGTCACAGATACCTCAGTTTGAGGTTTGAACCATTCATGTAGTAGGTAAATTTGCTGATACCACTCGAAACCTTTCTACTAGGGCCTTCCATCCTTCTTTCAACCGTTAATATCCACCAAATGGAAAACAGGAAAAACCTTTGGCTACCCTAACATACCTTTTTCATCTAGTATATAGCCACCGCGTGAGATATTGCCTTACAATCCACCCTTTCTCAGGTGAGGTAGGTTTCCAGCCTATCCAGACTTTTATTCAAGGAAATGACTACCAGGAAGCGGACTGTTGGGTTAATTATTCAGATCTAAAAACGTGGACTGGGTGAAAACGATAGCTGATTAGTACTGACCCAATCCCTAATAGTTTGGTACTTGTTGGTAGACTGGATTACAAGGATACAGCTGCATAGGGCATAACAGGCATGTACTCTACAACATGTTACAGCTAAACTACATATTTGTTGAAATAGGTTGTATCAGACCAAGTCGTAAGCATCACGTTAAGGTAAAGATTAGTATACTACGCGAGCATCGCGAGACATTAGATTTTGTAATAATTAGAGACCATCTTTTGGTATTAAAGTTACTACACAGCAATCGATCTGTTGCACTAAAGTTTAAAAATATACATAATTAAGTGATAACAACACGGATCACAACGCCGTTCATCGTTGCCTTTTACAATAGTATCGGTATCAACAAGATTTTGGTCTCAGCACCCATAAACAACCCAAGGAGAGTGCAGGCGGCACTGTAAACACCGCCATGGTTGGATGGTGCGGTGGTACATCGTCTTCGCCGGTCTGCCAAGTAAGGTCTGGATAGCTTGGACACATATCCCACTCGAGACAGTAGATCGCTTGTTCAAATCCGGCAAAACACAACCACTTTTCTCGCAGCGCTAGTATACATGGATGACGAAGGTATGCTTGGATAACCAAAGGTTTTTAATTTCCCTTTGGTGGGTAGTTACGGAGGAGGGTCGACTGTTTTTGTGAGCAAATATACCTCATAGTGTTTTTACAAATGGAATCAAAAGTATGAGTATCTCTAACGTCAAAAGAGTCATCCAATATGTATAGATAGCACGGGTCATGTTTCATTGCTGTATAGCTGCACACACATTAAATTATAAAAATAAAAAAAAGTTACTAAAGTCGAAAACCCTCAAAAATGACAATTCTATCATTCCGATCTGTGGTTTCTTCCCTCTCTCATTTTATACCACAGCGGCCTACACTCACTCAGGTTATAGAGCCCCATCAGAGCAGTAGTGTCAGGGATCAGGTATAAAAAGTAATGAGCGATTGCATGAAAGATGCTAGTTTATTATCGAATGACCTGATAACCCCATGACCTTTATGTATTATCTTAGAAATAATTACCAATTATGTTGATGAGTAATGAATAAGTTATTTAGGAATGGCGTTAGAAGAGAGGAATAACTACTTTTTATACGTGTTTCCTCAAGTTAGAAAGATGAGAATCAAGATATACGTTAACCACCAATTATTACTGCTATAGAAAGCGTGTGATATAAATAACACCCGATTATTCCAACATTTATGTTTCGATAAATGGTTAATCATTTGGGTAATCGAGCAGGTATTTATACAATCCTTTTC